AGCCCTAAAGAGCTGGAGTGTGCTCCCTGGCTTCCCTTCTGCTGCAGGTTTAGGCGCAGCGCCTACGGGGGCACAGCTGGCGCCGTGTGCCTTATGCGTCCAGGCTCCTCGTGCCAAGTACTGCGTCCTACCCCGCATCTCACCGCCTGGCGATTCCATGGGGGCGGCTTCCTGATTGGAGAAGTGGCAAGGGCGGCATGTGGCTCCGTAGGGGGATCTACCGGGATAACAGTAAATCGAGAGTGAGGAGGAAAGGGCAGTGTGGGTGTGCGTGTGTGTGGGTGTGTGGGGGGGTGTTCAGTCGGGTTTTCCACTCAATTGATTTTCAGGTGGCATTAAGTGGGCAGGATACGCCACAAAGCGAAGGCAAAACCGTCCCCTCACAAGCTAGGCACATTTTGTCTAATTAAAAATAAACAAGAAAACTTCATACCCACGTTAGGATGCAAGGAAACGATTCCCTCTCTTCCCCTAAAGAATATCCCAAACCCAAGTGAACCTAGATTGCTGACTTTTCGCCCCCTAAAGAGTCATTGCTCTAACTGCCAGAGGCTGCCTTGGAGTAGAACTCCTACCTCAGGCAACGCGAGCTCTTGGGGTGGTGGAGAACGTGCTGGGTGGGTGCAGGGAAGGTGGAGAGGGAGTTTCGGTGGGGAAAGGATGGGAAAGGAGAAGTAGGAGAAGGGAAGTATGCTAGTAATGCATCACACAGTGACTAAAAGACTCAATGCGGAACGGACACATCTATACAAGCATCCACATACATAAAAGCCACCAAGGATTCTGTTTGTCTTGAGTGCTACAGCCTGCATTGCGTCGAAAGTGGTCATTTGCAATGTTAAATCCCCTGGGAAGGTCGCAGCTGGGTAGTTTCGCGTGTTCGGGGCTCTGAATTGTGATGGGCTAGGGAAGGAGAGGGGGAGGTTCTGGGGGGATGTTTGTTGGAGGAGGAGAAGGATGGCTGACAAGGGTGAGAAACTCGCTCCTCTGCACCCCCCCCACCCCCCGCCCACTTCTCTATCCTCCAGCTCCTTCCTCCTCCCCCCTCCCCATCCCACGACCTGGCGGGCCAATCCCCGCTCCGCACCAGAGGCGCCTCCTCGGGTTTCTGCTGATCTTGCAGGGTCCAGAAATGGACCGCACCGCCGCTCTGCCGTTGCTACCGCCGCGGCTGCTGTCACTACCGCAATAGTCCCGCTCGACTCCGAGGCTTTCCAAACCCCAGGTGTCCAGCGGAGCTTCTTGGAGGACTAAGCTAGCGGCAGGCGGGGTGGAGGTGCTGGAGTAGCTATGTAGATCACGGGGCGGCTCTCTCCTGCCGCCCACAGCCTGGATCCGTCCCTCTAGAAGCGAAGCAGAGACTCCTGGAGTGCCAGGGGGAGCGATTTTTTTTTTAAATTTGAATTTTATTTTAATTCCAGGGCTTTTATAGAGGTACCTCTCCGCCCCACTCCCCTCCCCCTCCCACCCCTTTCCCTCTCCAGCAACCCTAGTAACTTGGAACTGGAGAGGGGTCTTCCTATCTTTCTCCCTTTCTGTATAGTCTTTCGAGTTGTTAGAAATGGGGGTGGGTATAAATATTTCGGCAGCAGCGGCCCTATAAAGCGATCTCGGCAAGGAGAGGAGCGCAGGAGGAGAGAGCTGGAGGCTGAGTTTGCCACTGCGCCTTTTGGATGCTGCTGTTGCTACCGCCGCCGCCAAGGAGACTTGCCGCATTCCAACAGGAACTCTTCTCCCGACTCAACATCGCCGCTGACGCCTGCCCAGACACCCCTCCAGGTAAGACGAGAAGCCCGGTGGGGCTCCTCCATTCGGGGGGCTGGCTGCACGAATCAGAGTGGGGAGGGTGAGGGGGAGCGGGGAGGGAGAACCTTGGATCTCTGGTAGCTCCCACCTTCGGGCTCAGTTGTTAATGAAGTTGTAAACAGATGGGCTATAGGGGAATGGAGGAAGTGGGCAGGAGAATCCAGAAAACTTGAAGTGAGTGAGTGAGTGAGTGAGTGAGTGTGTGTGTGTGTGTGTGTGTGTGTGTGAGAGAGAGAGAGAGAGAGTGAGAGAGAGAGAGAGAGATTGCCTTAGTTGTGTCTGGTGCTTTCCAATACAGGAAAGGTAGATAAATGTATGTGCTTTTTCAGTTTCTGTAGATGCGTTCCGTCTGAATGCTTTTGATTTTTTTTTTATACCTCCCTATCACTTTCTATTTCTCTGCAGCATCCATCGATCGCCCTGGTGGGAGCTTAAAAAGCATCAGAAGAGGGGTAGGAGGGAGGATAGACCAGAGAAAGAGGGAGAAATGGAAGGCAGGGGAGTCTGCTGAGCTGACACGGCACCCAGTCCTGTTCTTATGACGATTTAGGGCGGGGGTAAAAGGGTGACCCCCTCCCCCAAAGGCAATGTCGAAGTTTGCCAGAACAACATTATCTTGAGAGGAAAGAAAAACCCCCCCCCCCCCCACACACATACAACAGAACAGGAGCCAGGTGCTGCTGGAAAGGGGGATTTCAATTTGGGAAAAAAATTAGGTGGGGGTGAGAGTAGATCGATAGAGCCCAGATTAGTTTCCTTCCTCCCCTTGGGCTATTCTCCCCAAGGGGTGGCAGATTCAAATACTCTAGGTGGGGGGCGGGGGCACTTTGTTACCCTCTCCCTCCCCTTCCAACAACTTCACCACCCCAGTCCCCCCTCTCTGCTCCACACCCTTCCACCCAGCTTAGACCATGACGGTGATGTCCGGAGAGAACGTGGAGGAGGCTTCTGCCGCCCAGGGCCATCCCCAAGATATCAGCTATCCCAGGCCAGCAGACCATGACGACCATGACTGCTGTGAAAGGGTGGTGATCAACATCTCTGGGCTGCGTTTTGAGACACAACTTAAGACCCTGGCACAGTTCCCCAACACATTGTTGGGGAATCCCAAGAAACGCATGCGCTACTTTGACCCCCTGAGAAATGAGTATTTTTTTGACCGCAACAGGCCCAGTTTTGATGCCATCCTTTATTATTACCAGTCTGGAGGGCGCCTGCGTAGACCTGTCAATGTGCCCCTGGACATGTTCTCTGAGGAGATCAAGTTTTATGAGTTGGGTGAGGAGGCCATGGAGAAGTTCCGAGAGGACGAAGGTTTCATCAAGGAGGAAGAGCGCCCATTGCCAGAGAAGGAGTACCAGCGCCAGGTGTGGCTCCTCTTTGAGTATCCTGAGAGCTCTGGGCCTGCACGGGTCATTGCCATTGTCTCAGTCATGGTAATCCTCATCTCTATAGTTATTTTCTGCCTGGAGACCCTGCCTGAGCTAAAAGAAGAAAGGGAATTCAGCACCTTTCAACCAAGTGACAACACAACAATCTACTACAAATCCAACATTTTCACAGATCCCTTTTTCATCGTGGAAACATTGTGCATCATCTGGTTTTCCTTTGAACTCGTGGTGCGCTTCTTTGCCTGTCCCAGCAAAACAGATTTCTTCAAGAACATCATGAATTTCATTGACATCGTGGCCATCATCCCCTACTTCATTACCCTGGGCACTGAAATGGCAGAGCAGGAGGGCAACCAGAAGGGTGAGCAGGCCACTTCACTGGCCATCCTAAGAGTCATCCGATTGGTAAGGGTCTTTAGAATCTTCAAACTGTCCCGCCATTCCAAGGGACTCCAGATCCTAGGTCAGACTCTCAAGGCTAGCATGAGAGAGCTAGGTTTGCTCATCTTTTTCCTTTTCATTGGGGTTATCTTGTTTTCTAGTGCTGTATACTTTGCAGAGGCAGAAGACGCTGAGTCTCACTTCTCAAGCATCCCCGACGCTTTCTGGTGGGCTGTGGTGTCCATGACCACTGTAGGATACGGTGACATGTACCCTGTGACAATTGGAGGCAAGATCGTGGGCTCCTTGTGTGCCATCGCTGGTGTGCTGACAATTGCCCTGCCTGTACCTGTCATTGTGTCCAATTTCAACTATTTCTACCACCGAGAAACTGAAGGGGAAGAGCAGGCTCAGTTGCTCCATGTTAGTTCCCCTAACTTAGCCTCTGATAGCGACCTCAGTCGCCGTAGCTCCTCTACTATCAGCAAATCTGAATACATGGAAATTGAAGAGGATATGAATAATAGTATAGCCCATTATAGACAGGCTAATATCAGAACTGGCAACTGCACTACAGCTAACCAAAACTGTGTTAACAAGAGCAAGCTCCTGACGGATGTTTAAAAAAAAATTAAAAACATAACACACACACACACATACACACACAAATTCTACTTAGCAACTTGAAAGACTTAATAGAAAAAAAACCCACCTCAAACAACAATAATAACAAAAAAACTAGTGACCTATGTCACACTCTGTAGATACTTTACTAAATAGTCTTTGAATGCTCTATTGACCTGTAAATGCATTATTGCATTGCAGATTTTTTGGCTCAGCGAACCAGAAACTTTCAGGATCCATAAAAATACTATTTTCATTTTATTTTAAAAAAAAAGAAAGAAAAAGAAAGGGTATTTTCCATAATTGGTAAAAAAATGAAGTCTTTGAACTAGTCTAGATAAAATAAGACTCATATGCTTCTCTATATTGAAATGTTTTTCATCCCTCTGCTTGTTTAACTTAATTTTAAAGAAATATTTAAAAACAGATGATCACTTAGAAATATAAAAATGAAATATGCATGGGACTCCAGTTAAAAATCTCTGCAAAATGCACACTGACAGTGTATCAAAGAAAGTGCATCAACTATCTATACATATAAGATATATGTATAAATGAATTGACCAAAAAGCATAGTGAATATTGGCCGTTTTTATTTGAATCAGCTGAAGTGTATCTATCCTCTTGAAAAATCAGTAAGTCATGAATGGGCCATATAGCACCTTATAAGTATAATATTGGGCCTGATCTCAAATGATCTCCCTCTTTGCCCCATTCTCCTTCTTACTCAAGCCAAGATTTTTTTTTTAAGGAAAAAAAAATCAATTGAGACATCTGCAATGCTGCTAAGTTTTCTTAATTGCAGATGAACTACACATAAGTTTTTTTTTTCTTCCCCTGTTAGAGCTCCTTGTCCCTTCACTTGAAAGAACTGGATGCAAAACTTTTGTCCCCCCCTCCTCCCCTTTGTTGCAAGAGAACAAATGTACGCATGTTTGAATTTGACACTATTTATTTTGTAATCGCATGTGGGGATCATTACCTCAAACAATAGGGGATAAGCTTTCTTTTGAATTAACTCTTCTAAAAATAGGCCCTTTTTCATTTGCATTCACCAAAAGTGCACTCCTTAATTTATTACCTATTTTATTAGTAATTTAAAGTACTGTATTTAAGTGCACATGTTAGTCAAATGGGAACAACACTTTTTTTGGAGCTCAAAGCATGTTCTATTATTCCGCATCATGGCCTGTTTGACTAAGGTGTAACTTGAATTCATTAATGCATGATTTCAGTAAGAAAAAGATAAGTAAAAAAAAAAAGTTTATGATATGAAGGGCCCAAACAAAGTGAGGGGAGAGGGGGACTCAGTGAATTTTCCTGCCTTTGCTCAGGGAAATGTTTGGTTTCTGTCCAGGTGTTGTCAGAAAGAGGATAAAATATTCCCATCCCTTAAAGGGAAAGTATATGGAAAAAATAAAAAGCTATCAAGTTATATATAGCAACACCTAAGAAACAGTATCCTCTATAGCTAAAGACAAAAACAAACAAAACAAAAAATGGTGCAATACTGCATGCTTTTTGGTGCATTCTTAGAATGTAAATGAAACTCTTTATCTAATGTGTGCATCCAAATTATAGATGATTTCTTTTTGCAGTTATGATTTGAAGTCTTTAGAGACTTTGGTACTCCCTTTGAGAACTTACTGAAGAAAATCAATTTATTTAAATAGTTGCTTAGTGCCTTTATCCTGCACCCACTGAATTGCAGAAAGTGCCTCCATTAAAACAGCTGCAAAGTTAGAGGAGTAAGAGGGGAGGAGCTGGGGCATCTTTTTTTTTTTTTTTTAATTTTTCCACCTTCACCACCTTCCTTCCCTCACTGCTCACTCCCCCTCCCCCTTCCACCAACATGAGAAGATCACACCATACTGACCCCTGGAAAGAGAAGACAACAAGGACAAAGATGTCCGGTGTCATCAATGGACTTGTTTCCCTTTGGTAATCTGATGTTGACAGTGACCTGAGGCCTGAGACCCAGCTTCAGACTGAACATGGACAATGGACTCAATCTCTCCTTTCTTCTTCTTCTAAAAACTGAGAGAATTGCTTTGGGATTTGGACTCCTGCCAGAGTCCCTGTGAAGTTCTAGTGTCTCCTCAGATCATGTACAGGTATCATGCCTCTCATATTCCCCTCCTACTCTTACTCCTCTGTTATTCTGGAATCCAGAATAAGTCAGTAAATAACCTTAATTTTCTAGTTAAATTTTTTTTCTTTATACTTTCTTTTTATCTATATGCCCCCACCTCTATTAACTGAACATCTTACAACCCCTGCCCCAATCACCAACCTCAGAGAGTGGTAGTCTGCTTATGGACCAGCTGAAGGAAGGAAATGCATGGGTCCTTGGAGACAAACAGCTGTCACTTAACTGAGAGGCACTCAAAAATCTTTAAGAACACACAGGTGGGGATGGAGCTTCGTTTTGAATTTAGCATGAGGCTGCCTGCTGCTGACCACTTCCTTCTCCTGTCCTGCTTTGTATAGGGATCTCTCCCCTTCCTCTCTCCCTTCTGCCCTTCCCTCCTCTCTAGGCAGTACAGTAAGGCACTTAACACAGTATAATCGTGCACAAGGCTTACTTGCTGAGCTAAAGCAAAATAATTTAGACATTTTCTTTGCTTGTTTGGCTTCTATGAGCCTGAAGGATGGATACAAACAGACACACCCTATGTGAAGAGAGATCCAAAGAACGTGACCTTCCTGTGATAATTGGAAGGCATCTGACTGTAGGATGAGAAACCTCTCCAGAATGAGCCTGTGGTGCTTCCTCCCCACTCTCCCCCTTACCCCAACAGCCATTCATCACTCTCCCCTCACCTCTAGAACTCCCTGCTTAGGGGAGGAAAAAAAGCCACCCTAAAAAACAACTACAAAACAACCAAGAATGTTCCAAACTTTCATCTCCACTCAGAGGTCTAGAACGCACAACTTCCTGTGTTCAACTGCACTCAGTCAACAGCAATAATCCATTCAGTGCTGTGGGATGGATGCTGAAAGGACCAGCCAATAGGACCAAAGCAGATGAGACTGACCGGCTACTAGGTGTCTCTAGTAGTTGGAAACCTTCACCTTAGCCTGTCCACTGGACTGATGACTCTCTGCATGTGTTAGAGGAGAAAGAGCTATGTGGATGGGCCTGTTGACCAGGGTTTGGGGTGAGTTCTAAAGGGTTTGGGGGTGGTATGGGGAGTCTGGATGTCCCTTACCCATTCTTAATTCATTTCCAGAATTCAACGAGGATGGCTTAAAGGCATTATTTTGTGTAGTATAGGCATGCAAAGTTTGACAAAAGCTCTTATTCCTTGCACTACAACAGGGCTGAAATGTATTTGTAGACCTGAAGGTGCACTTAACAAAGCTGCCTGTTAAGGAATTGAATTAATACCCTTTGGCTTATTTGTTTATTTTTTGACTGGCTTTTGCCCTTTTCCTTTCCTTTCCTTCCCCAGAGACTGATTTGGCTCATGTTCTGAATATTGGTTTTCTCCAGGGGGAGAAAACTTCTGAAGGGCTGATATGCACAAATCAGCCCTTCTAGAATTTAGGGGCCCTAGTTTAATAGGGTTAAATGTTGGTCCCTGCCAGTGCTGTTAGTGTACCAAGAAGCTCTGAAAGGAGCTAACTTAACTCGATAGATTTGAAGTGACCAAAGAAATTAAATCACCTCTGTCCTTGAATGTGTAAAAGACAGATTATAGCCATAAACCTTTTGTTATTTTTTTGACTTGCTGTGTCCCACCAAAAAAAGAGTTGATGTTATTAAATCAGTCATTCAGTTCCTTGGTAGTGGGTTAGCCCAATGAAACCAAGTTAAGCAGCAGCAATTTCTTGAAGTTATGGCTAATGGACAATCATTTCCTTAAAAAAGGAGTTTGTATAGACAGTTTAGTTCCCATTACAGTAGAGCTGAAGCACAAAGGGAAATTACTATCCTAACTCACTTAGAAATAATAATCATCAGACGTTAAGTGAGGGATGTGTTTCCTTAAGTAGAATTTTCATTCCATTGTAGGAGAAAGGGCCTCTTTTATTTCATGCATCACATTCAGATTTTCCAAATAAGAGAAAACACATCTGAAGGAGGCAGAAAATAAAGGCCCTATCCCATTCCCCCATTTATTGTGAGATATATAGAAACATATACTCATAATTTTAACTTCTTGTTTGGTCGATGGATAACTCAGTTGGGCAAAACAGAAAGAATGAAAGACTGAGCAGAAGGCAATTCTTCTTTCTCTTCCAGGAAAGGCATATTCTTGGGATTGGTGAGAATTGGTGGGTGGTAACCATCCATTGTACAGTTTGTTAGGAAGAATACAACTGCCAAACAATCAGTCTGAACTTTTTAAAGCAGAAAACTAAATCATCAGGAGTCTGGTATGTCAGGTGTGATTTTTTTATTTTCATATGAAAGAAAAAAAACATGAAATCAGGTATAATCTGTATTGGTTGGTGACATCAGGAGGTAGAATCTCATCTGCTGTTCAGACTATTTTGCTCATGTTTATGTTATAGAACTTTGAGATATAGGTACAATTTTTCTTCCTCATCACTCAGGCAAGCTACCAAGAAATTTACACACTTTGCAAAGAAGCAAGTGATGTGTTAATTAGCTACACCTCCTCATCTACTTTGAATGAGCTTCAAGGTTTACAGTTTTGGTTTGAAACCCTAAATCTTTACTTAATATATAAGTATTTAGGATCAGAAACCATCTCCTCACACAGGTAAAACTACTATAAACTTTCCTGGGAGTGCCAGGACATCCACCAGGGGTTCTTAAGGAATTCCTCCCACCACAAGACTGTTAGTTTGAGTGATATCAGCCCTAGTTGCAGGGCGACTTTAATTGGAAGGCTGCTTGGGTTTTCCACAACACAGAACAGAAAGGGCAAAGAATGAAGTTTTGTATCCCCCGGTTTAGTCAAAACAAAACTTCAAACCCTTGAAACAATAAATAAGGGTAGGGAATTGGGAGAGGTGGGAAAGTTGGT